CAAAGGAGACACTGAAAGCCCCGGATAAGATCTGATATTGAGGTTCCCGTGATGGGTCGCCTGGAACACCCCCGCCGCTTCCCACCCCATGCCCTCAGGACTCCAACACCCATGATTCCCCGCTGACAGGGAGCGGGTGGGCGGGTCTCCCCCACCCTCCCAGCGGGAAAGACTTCCCCGCCCCCGGTGAGGGTCTCGGGTCCCCCCCCCCCCTTCTGATACGAGCCGAGGAGCAGGTGCCTCTCCAGGGCTCCCTTCCGGGAGGGGATGGTGGGCGTTGTAGTCCCTGTCTCTCGACGGTTCCTCCTCACCTGTGAAGTGGCAGAGCGCGGCGACGCAGGCCGGGCTGGTGGCGTTGCCCACCCGCGGGATCAAGCGGAGGCTCAAGATCTGCTGCAAGAGGCCGCCGGAGTCCGGCGGAGACGCCCCGCCGCCTTCCGCCATCCCGCCGCCTCAGCCGCGGCATCCCGTTGCCGGATCCAGAGAGGAGCGGCGCCCAGAGCGGCGCCAGGCGCACTTCCAGCAGAGCCGCTTTCCGGCCGCTCTAGATCGTGGCGTTCTATGGTGTTTTTGTTTTTGTTTTTAAACTTTCTCCCCGCCCCGCCCCGCCCCCCTTGGAAAACTACACTTCCCAGAAGGCCCTTCTTGCTCTTGGAAACGGGTGCCGGGAGCGGCTAATTCACCGACGGCTGGAAGGTCGTTCGCAATAACGTTCGTTAATCCGCAAAGGCCCGCGCGGCTCTCGTAGCTTTTGCCATCCGAATCATTCCAGGTTTTCTGGGCCTCAAGAAGCCCAATCTCTCTCTCTTTTTTTCCAGCGCCTCTTTTCCCACCCCCGGGAGGTTTGACCGATCTATGGCGCGTATTTATCCCAGTCTCGAATATTGACGCCTGGATCGGTCGAATATTCAACTCCTCCACTTCACCAAAGACGCAAGACGGTCCTGCACAGGCTCGTTCTGTAGCTCCAGGGGTACTTCCGGCAAAGACGACATTTCCCCCCCCCAGGGGAGGCGTGTGCTTCCGGGTTGTCGCCTCAAGACGTGGGGCGTGATATGTGAGGTCGGAGTCGCGCCGGAAGAGCCATGTCGGATTCGGAGGATTTTTCGTCGGGGGAAGACGAGGATTACCTGCCCTCAGGTGAGGGCATACACCCCGGCCTCGGGGAGAGCGCGCGGCGAGCCGCGGGCGGGCGGTTTGGGCAGGCAGGACCAGGCGGCGAGGCCTTCGGGTCAAGGCCTCTGTCCGGCGGCTCCCAACATCCGGGCTACGCGCTGAGGGCGTCACGTGACAGCAGCCCGGCACCGCTTCGGGTGGGCGAGTCCAACACGGGTTGTTGGATGGGTGGGGGAAGGACGGGATGGCGCGGGGTTGTACCACCCTAAAAAGGGAAAGCGTTGGGCTGCAGACCCGTTTCTGCTCGCAGGTAGCGGAAATTTTGAGTAGTTTGGAGAACGGGCAAATCCCGGATCGGCCGCGTGGAATAATAATAGATCCGCGAACTTCAACTCCCAGAATTCCCCAGCCAGCAAAGCCGGCTTTGCTGAGCTGGGAATTCTGGGAGTTGAAGTCCCCTGCCTTAAAGCAGCCAAGTTTGAGAAACTCTGGAGTAGACTTTGCAAGGACCGCTGGCTCCTTTCCCTTCTAACTGCCCTGGAAAGGTAAAAGCTCCTTGCAGCCAAACTTGGTGAGGCTGCTTGCTTTGGGATGGAGATTTCCCAGTTCTTTTTTCTGATCTTTTCTTTGGGGGTTTCCTGGGGGTCTCCCATCCAAGATAAATGGCTTACTTTCACAGGATCAACCCTAGCTTTGCGCCCAACGTGAATCCTAAAAGCGGGAGATGGAGCCTTCGTTGGATTTTCCTTCCTCAAACTTTATGGCAGCCTTTTGTTAGCGCTGTCATGAACTGGGACTCCTGAATAGAAAGTCTCTCCCTTCAGCCTTTTTTACTTATTTTATTTGTAGTTCCATTTTTTTTATCCAGGATGCCTCTGGCATTTGTACAGTCCTCCCATTTCAGTCCTATCCTAAATTGTAATCTTAGGACAAAGGTCTCCAAATGTCACAACCTTAAGACTTGTGGACTTCAACTCCCAGAATTCTCCAGCCAGCTCCAGTTGAAGTCCACAAGTCTTAAAATTGCCAAGTTTGGAGACCTCTGTCTTAGGAGGTACATTGCATTTCTCGGGGAATTGAAGAATTAAGATTTCTGCTATGTTAAACTGAGTCTGATGAGGCAGGAGTGTTGGTGCAATCTGTCTAGCGCTGTTTTTCTTGCTGGCTGGGGAATTCTGGGAGATCAAGTCCACACATCTTCAAGGACCCAAGGCTAAGAAACTCTGCTCTGTAATTAGTATAATGGAAAGAACTTTTTTTAACCCTATCTTTATTTTTATTTTTTTATAAATAATTCAAGGCAGCAAACACACCTAATATTCATTGCTCCCCTTATTTCCCCCAGCAACAGCCTTGTAAAATGGGTTGGACTGAAAGTCCTTTCATGCTTAAGACGGGACTAGAACTCACCACCTTCTGGTGATTAACCCAAAGTCACCCAAGCAGCTCTCATGCCTAAGGCGCAACTAGAACTCACAGCCTCCTGGTTTCTAGGCACATTCATCACTAAATCTATGAAAGCCGTGGTTCTTTTGAGGATGACATGGAGTCCCAAGCAGCTACTTCTGTTGCAAATCGGCAACAAACCTTATTGCTGCTGTTTTTGTATTTTTAAATGACCAGGATGGAGAAAGAAACCAAGAAACAGCTTCTCCCCGCCGCCCCACACACATTTTGTAGCACCCCAGCTGACCCAGCGTATCTCCGGTCTGCCCAAGGGCAGATGAAGGGTAAAAACTTCCTTGGTGGATGCTCTTTCGGCTTTCTCTGTGATGACAATGCTTCCTTTTTGCTCAGGCCTTGTTGTGGTTAGCTAGCAGGGGGTGCAGACGGCTGAGGAGAGCGAGGACTCAGATGAGGGGCCAGGACCATTAGGGACTGGACTGCTGCCTTTCAGAGATTGTGGGGGCTGGCAGCAGCGATGAGGAGGTTCCCGAGGAGCCTAGGCCAAGTGTGCATGAATGGAGGGCTGCTCGCAGGGAAGAGCAGCTACAACAGCACGGGCGACTCGGGAGTAAGGCTGCAAGGTAATGGCTCCTCCTTCAAGAAGATAAAACCCAGCTGTGAATCGGACGTTCTTTGGAGGGAGCAAAGATGTTTTGAAACTCGAGCCTCGTGGGCATTGCAGTATCTTAAGTTGGTATTTGAAGACTCTTGTGTTATAAAATATCTCTAGGTAACCTTATCCGTGATTCTTGGCAGCCTCGCACAGTTTTGGCGAGGCTCGTGCTTATCAAAGTTAATTAGTTTGCAGCAGCCTTTTAACCGGGGATTCATAAGAAGGTTTCTGTTCCCTTTGGTTCGTGTTTGTTTTACTGGACAAGGGTTTAGGTCAGAACAGGCCTGGCTGCTTGGATAACACACAGTCTAGTCCGTCCGTCCCCTGTTCCTAGTGACAACCTGTTCCTTTTGGGTAACTGAGGCTGTGTCGATGCAGGGGAAGAATACAGTGAAGATGACGTCAGCGAGCTGGTAAAGGAAGAGGAAGTGGAGGAGCCGAAGCAGCAGCCAGACTGGAAGAAATGCAAAAAGGACACTAAAGGAATCGCACCTCGGTAAGCAGTCATTTGCATAAGAGGGAAAGAAAGAAAAGAAAGTGTTGTTTTGCTTCCTTTTCGAGATGGTGCCTGGAACTGCACTTTTTTCGATAAGGTGTTTTATTTGTGGAAAGTGACGAGTGAGGAGAGCAGTTCCATTGAAAGCTGGAGAGCTGCATGAAGACTCACAAAACTCCCAAGCTTGGGATTAGATTTGAGATAGGCCTGCTGTCTCTGTGGGATTAGCATAAACCAGGGTTTCCCAATCTTGGCTACTTTAAGACATGCAGACTTCAACTCCCAGAATTCCCCAACCAGCATGACTAGCGCTATATTCAGCATGGTTGGCTGGGGAATTCTGGGAGCTGAAATCTGCGTGTCTTAAAGTAGCCAAGGTTAGCCAATATACAGATAGTCCTCGACTTAACAACACTTCACTTCGTGACTGTTCAGAGTTACTGTCATGCCCTTGTTAGAGTCGGACTCTGTGGGAGAGGAAGAACTGGCCGACATGGAGTGGAGGTGTGGCTCTGGAGGTTGTGGAGGCGGCTGGGGAAGGGCAGAGGCCGGCTGAGCAGTCAGAGGAAGAACCAGGCCCATCTCCTCTTCATCCTAGGGCACGCAGGGAGGAACGGAGGAGGAAGCAACTTGGCTTACGAGAGAGGAAGCGGCCACGATCCCCCTCATTGGTTGCAGCTGGGGAGAATAGTATATAAGAGAGACAGTTAAAATACAGCGTTGCCAGAAGCAAAGCGTGTTTTATTTTGGTCTGAAGTTATCTTGGTTGGCGTCCTTCCCACAGACTGTGCCTTGTTATCTCCTTGAAGTTAGTAATTACTTATCCTGGTCCGCTGTGGAATTTCCTTCATTGTAGTTTGTTTGTTTATTTCACTTCTATCTGCTTATTAAATTAGGACTGTATTGCTTTCTTTTGCAGACTATTTTTGAATAAGTTTTATCTCCAGCTGAGAATTATTGAACAGTGGGGCCAGGTTAGAGGCATTAAAAGACATTTATTTACTTTTTGGATTTTGTTACGTTTGTGTTACACTCTGGGTCTTCACGGTTACAATGGCATTGAAACAAGTGACTTAGGACCATTTTTACACGACCTTAGCAGAGTTCCCATGGTCATGTAATCCAAATTCATGCTTTTGGCAATTGATTCATATTTATGGCGGTCACAATGTCTCCTGGGGTCACATGATCCCCTTTTGAGATCCTTCTGACAAACGAAGTCGATGGGGAAGCCAGATTCACTTAAGAACTCTGTTACCAACTTGACAACTGCCGTGATGCACTTAACAACTGTGGCAAGAAAGGTCATAAAGCAAAATTCACTTAAATGTCTCACATAGCAACCCAAATTTTGGTTTCATTTGTGGTGGAAAGTCGAGGTCTACCTGTATAAACCCAGGTATAAACAAATTGCCTTAGTAGCATATTTCAATATTTGTTTCCTTTTCTTGCCCCTATTTAATGCCAACAGTGCCTTACCTGTTGCCATTTCTAATCCCAAAGGTGCTTTTTCAGGAGGCAACTGGACTTTCTGGTTTTTCTTGGAAGACGTTTCGCTTCTCATCCAAGAAGCTTCTTCAGCTCCGACTGGGTGGTGGGGAAGGGAAGGATTTATACTCCTTGCAGACAGCTGGTCATTTGCATCCTTTTAGAGGGTCATTGAGGTCCCTTGGAGGTTTATCTGTGTCTTCAGGATCACCTGAGTGGTGCAAATGGTTCCTGTAGTCTCATCTCCCCCCCCCCCCGAAATCCATTCCCTATTCCCACACCATTCCAAGGGTGTTCATCCCAGATTGTATAGCTAAAAGTCTGTAGAGACTCTCGGTCCTCCAGGTCATGGCTGCCCCC